TTTTTCTTTTCTCTTTTGTTTGCACAGTCTTTACCTAAATGGAGGTCCCTAATGGTGAAATTTCTCAGACCATCTGTTGGGCTGACTCCTCCCAACACTGTACTAACATATACTACTGGGAAAACAACATATCCTTTTCTTCCCTTTTAGGCCTCTATATAGCAACTCTTAACTAGATCAACAAGTTAAAACACGGTTCAGGCTGGAGTGTATTGCAAAGGGAGTAGAGGGTAAGGAGGTGGGGGGTGGGGATGGCAATGGAAAGGGTCCATGCTAAGGAGTGTCCATGGGGAGTGAGAGGAGGAGAGTGGGGGATGGATATGATTAACATACATTGTACACATTATAAAATTCTCATAAATAAAGTATATAAATAAGCACTATATATTTAAGCAAGAATTGTGAGAATGATAACATGCCACTTTGAAAGCTCCTGAGAAAAAAGGACTAGAGTCCTTACCCAGAAGTAAACTGCCAGGAAACTTGCCAAGACAGAGGATAATGGCAGTACAAACATCTCCACAGTTCTCTCCCTACCTTAGGAAAGTTAGGCCAAGGGCAGTCCCCGGGTTACCCACCTACTCTACACCAAACTTAACATCTACCACAACCTCTCTCCCTCTGTTCTTGCTCCTGGCTTAGATGAGAAATTAGAGCCCAAACTGGTTCACTACTTCCTCTTTGTCCTCGGGCTCTAACACCTATACACTTATGTGTGGTAGCAAAACACAGCCTACCTTACCTACTGAGTCACTGCTTCTATTTTTAAAGAGCACAGCCTGAAAGACAAGAATAACCAAAGAACATGTAAGTTGAGAAAGACCCACCCATATAGATGTAAAGAATTTCTGATTTAACACACGTGTTTTACAAGAATACCAAAGCCTAGAAATAAGAGATTTGTCATTATGAGAAGGAAATACTACAGGACTTCAAGAAAAAAAAAAAAAATCAACCTGTGTGGTCCACAGAGAGATCCTGCAAAAACCCAGTAACTCAAACAGGATAAGTGAGGAGCCTAAAAGTGCTTCATTACTTAATAATGAAGTGATGGTTAGTAATTACTTAGACCTGAACAAGTAACTTTTCCTTGAACTCTACTGAGCTAGGCCACTCAAGCAGCAACATAATCAAGACAACGGGCTACAGCAGTGGACACCTCACAATGCACCCGGTTACAGCAGTGGACACCATAAAATGTACCAGGCTACAGCAGTGGCTTTGTGAGGTCCACAGCAGGGGTCTGTTCATCCATGGGTACCTGAGAACACACAGCTGAAAGTGCTGCCAGGAAGCCAAGCCCAACCCTTGCCACTCTGAATGCTGGCTTTGTGCTACAGCATTCCCTTTCGGAGGCAGCAGCTCAGAGCATAAACACATCTATCCTGACGCTTTAGAAAATCATTAATCAAATGACACAATACACTTCTTTTTAACCTATGTTATTAGATTTCTTTTTTAATAAAGGGAAAACAATTCTGTATAACACACAGGTTCTCATATAGTCCAAGCTAGTCTCAAATTCAGTATGTGGCCAAGGATGGTCTTGAACTCCTGGTTCTCCTGCTTCCACAGTAGCTATAGCCTTTGGGGGATTTGTTTGTTTGGTTGGCTGGCTGGTTTTGAGACAGTCTCACACTGTTGGCCAGGCTGACCTCAAACTCAGACCCATCCTCCTGCCTCAGCCTCCCAAATTCTGAGATTATAGGTACAAACCAAGTCTGGCTGTTTTGTTTTTTGTTGCTATTGTTTTGCTTTTTAAGGATATTTTGTAAGACGCATCTCTTCTAAAACTGTTAAGTATAATGATCCTTTCTTTTCTAGTAATCCCCAGATTTTGCAACTAAGAAAGGAGGAGGAAGGAAGGGAGAGAAGGAACAGAGTCACACACAAAGGTGTCTGATTTCAGTCCTTGTACTATGTACTCCCTGGGATGAGTTTTCAGTTGGATTTTGTCTTGTAAATTATAGGGACCTTGAGGGTGTCTGCACCTCCAATTCTTACTTAAATTCTATGCCCACAGCATCACGGGCTGTGTCCACTCCTGACTCCTGACTCTCTAGGAATTGACCTCTCTAGATTCCTAGTAAGAAAATCAGGCTTCACTTCCGTTTGCTTCCTGGCCCTTATTATTGAGTAATAAGAATAATTTGGTTTCTCCCACTGCCCTAGTTATTTTTAAATTTAAAATGCATCACAGAATACTTTATCTTCTTCTTACAGTTCAATTTATATAGTTTTTAAGTACTTTTACATGGTTCCACAATAGGAAAAAATATACTTACCCTGTTCCCACACACATGCATAGGAAGTTTCTGGCTATTTTATTGGTTTCTATTTTTCCTGAGTTTCTTTATTTAAATAGTTGAAGAAAATGTGAACATCCCTGTCTTATGTGGCTGGCGTCTAATGGTGAGAGCATGGCTAGTGTCTATTTGTATCCCAATAAATGTTTGATAAGAGCTGTATTAATTAATAGTAAGAGAGACACTAAACAAACATGTGACATGCAAAACACAATGAGGCATGACTACAAAGCAGTGAGTTCTACTTTTATACTCAACTCCATCATCCCAATTTGAAAATCTTTAGGTGAACTGATATTCATCAAAATCATTGTTCTAGAAAATATTCTCTTGACCTGTATCTGACGGTGTCATTAGAAAAATAAAACAGTAAAAAGAAAATGCAAATGTACTGTCCTGACTAAAGACAGTAGAGAAGAGGAAAGCAAATCTAGATGATAAAGTAACTTTCCATGCTATGAATAAACATGTTTAGTCATATTGGAACATTCAAACTATATGCACATTACTGAGCTTTGATTTATTTGGGTTTCTTTCATTCTGTTTTTTTTTTTTTCCTTTCTTTCTTTTTGAGACAGGGTTTCTCTTGTGCAGCACTAGTTGTCCTGGATCTGGCTGTATAGACTAGGCTGGCCTCGAACTCAGAGATTTGCCTGCCTCTGTCTCCCGAGTCCAAGAATAAAGTGTTAGTGAACTTTGAAATATGTGCAAATTATAACTTCTATACAAACTGTCATCATTTTGGAATGAAGACATACCTGCTTTGGCTAATAGTTCTAAGTAGCTACAAAATACTTGTTAGCACCTGATGGAAATCACATCTTTGCCAAGTCCTTAGAGTACACAAGCATGTTAATTCTTACACTGTCTGAAGTACACACTGGCCTTGAGATTTGGAGACACCTGTCCTGTCCTGAGGGGCAGGTTATCATCTACCACACCTTTGTTGTAAATCTCAACAGTAAAAGCTTCTTCAGCCAGAGTCTGCTAGAAGGAAGCTGACCTCTACAGACCAGGGCCTTTGGAAGGAGTCTTATTCCCAACAGTATGACCTTAGGTAAAATTTTTAATATCCTGAACCTCTTTCCACATTAACAAAATAGGGATAATTCAAGATTCCCACAGCTATTGAGAAAGTGAGATTATATTTCATATAAATGACTAGTACATAATGAGTATTCTGGAAATGTTAGTTTCTCATCCTATTTTCTTCAAAGCCACAGAATAGTTATGTAACACCATTAGTCAAAAGTAATAGTAATTTATACTTTGGGGTCACATTTAGGTTTGCTGGCCAGGCCACAGTTCACTAAAACATCTATTAATACATTCAAAGTAATCTGGGGTAACTCTTTAAAAGATTGGTCTTGAAAAAATAGAGCAAAACAAAAAGCTTCATAAGTTGCCAAAATTCTGTCTCAGCTTCAAGAATTTATGAGTAGTCTAATTTCAAAATCTCCTGTTCAAGTTCCCACTGATACATAGTCTGCTGCCCTAAGAAAGCATAACCAAGATATTTAACCAAGAGACAGAATCTTGAGACAGACATCACTTTCATTTCCATTTGGTTTGCAAAGATTTGTGATTTCTAACAATATAATAACAGTTTTTCTATAAATATGGGCATATTCTACAGGAAAATTCTCTGGGATTGATTTTGCTATCCTATTCTGGATTTATTTATGTAAATTTTTGCATATAATTGGTAAACTACTATATGAGTTGCTATTTATCTGGTCAAGGCACCAAGTACCTCCTAAAGGCAATGGGGAACCAAGGTGGGATTTAAGCAAGGAAAACACCAGACAAAGAAACCGAACTCTAGAGGCTCAAAGGATTTTAATACTTCAGAATTTTTTATTTTTCAGGGATAGTTTGCTTCCATTCCTATTTTAATAGATTAATAAAAATGTAAAAATTCCTTCCTTCAAGCCTCAGGGAATATAATGAAAGAGTGGTGGATAAAATCTAAGAGCCAGAGGATAGGGAGGAATGCTGTAAGGCACTTCTAGACATATAGCCAATTGTGATCACCAACACATAGCAGCTGTGGTTACCTACACAAATATGCACATAATCGGGCCCTTCAACAGAGCATCATGGATGGGGGAGGGGCTTGAAAGGTCTCATCTCTTCCTGAGTACCCACCCACCAGCAGTTAACAGCTACAGGAAGACACATTTCCTTTAGAAGTGCAGTCATAGGGTGATTACCCCAAATAACTCCTAATCCATGCTCCTGCAGCACACCTAATTATTCTCAATGCAGCATGAACACACACACACACACACACACACACACACACACACACACACACACACACACACAAATAGGCAGGAGGGGATCTTGGTCAAAGGAAGGGATTAGGTAGGAGTAGAAAGGGGTTAATAGAGGATAACAGGAAGGTGTATATGATCAAAACACATCATACATGTAAAAATCAATCAACAATGTTTTTAATATAAACTCTTCTTTCTCTGTCCTGGCACAGAGACCTATTCTGAGTCATTTTAATATTTAAAATGTTTATGACAAGAAGGCAGGTTAGCATGACATCAGCTGACTAAAGATCTAAAGAGTAAATTGTAAATTCTCAGTTTGTGGTCACTTAATAAGCACATCTTTCTAACAACCCCAAAGTCTATCTTTTGATCATAAACAGTAAGTAAATAACCCATAATGACAAAGTCTTACCTTTTGTGCATCTCCTGTGAAATACGCAATGGCCATGGTGGGAAGGATCATGAACAGTGCATTGTAATAGAGCAGGCCATACTTTCCCAGCTCCTAGATAGTAAACAATTAGTTATTTCAGTTGGTTCTATCAGATAGGTATACTTAAGCATACAAAGATTACTAGTCAATTATGTTGGATAGTTTTTTTTTTTTTTTCCTAAGTTTTTTTCCTAAGTTTTTCTGTAGCTTTGGAACCTGTTCTGGCACTCGCTCTGGAGACCAGGCTGGCCTCACAGAGATCCACCGGCTTCTGCCTCCCAAGTGCTAGGATTGAAAGTGTGTATCATCACCACCGCCCAGCTATGTGGGATGGTTTTTAAAGTTAAAAAGTGTCTTAATTTGAATAATCACATTCAAGTCTGAAATGCAGGCCCAGGTCTTTCTATCATAGGACACAAGCTGGCTGGCCCATAATTATAAGCAGCCCTGAAGTTACAATTCTGATTTACTAAAACCAGTGTGACTACAAAACCTTAAACAACAGTGCCCATGACCCAGAACATGAACTAGCCCGGAGCATAGGGTGTGCAGGATGCACAAACACAGATACACCAACCACATAACTGACAGGCAACAAACACTAATGTCATACTCTTTGTGGCTCCTCTCACATTCTAATGACTTTGAATGTCATTCTTCCTTATGACGTTACAAATGTATCAAATGGCACTACACAGTACCGTCTGGCCTTGAACTCACAAGTGTCTTGGATCAGCCTCCTGAGTGTTCAGGTTACAATGCTGTTAACACATCCAGATCCCATAAAGTTTTGTTTTTGAGTCTCATATATTTCAGGTTGGTTTCTGTTGTGGGATATTTTGATCACATTCTGACACTCCCAAGACTGCCGATAAAATTTAGTTTGGATCAGAGGGTAGAGCTAGCTACTAGCTGACCAAAATTAGCTATGGAGGTTTTGGAGGACAGAGGACATATAGAGAGGCACAGGAAGTAATAGGGTGGGGCTTACAAAGATTCTTGGCCCTTTTGGATTGAGGAAGGAGAGAAGAGATCCTTGGTAGATTCTCACCACTTTTCTTATCATTCAGTTTCTTACCCTGACATCAGACTCTGAAGTTTTACTGATAAAGAATAATTAGATAAGCACTTCAGGCTTCAAACTCACTATATAGCTAAGGATGAAATAGAATATCTGATCCTTTTGACTCCAATTCTAGAGTTCTGGGACTCACCTGGCTCATGTGGTACTAGGGATTAAACCAAAGTTTTCATGCTTATTAGGCGAGCAATACATCAACTAAGCTACATGGGGTATCACATACCTTTAATTCCAGCATGCAGGAGGCCAAGACAGGCAGATCTCTGTGAGTTCAAATTCAGACTGCTCTATATGGCAAGTTCCAGAACAACTAGGATTGCATAGTGAGACCATGTCTCAAAATTAAGTAATTAAAAAACCACATTTCTAAAGAAATCAACTTAGCTATACCCCAGACCCACAGAGGTTTGTTTGGGCTTTTTTTTTGGGGGGGTTGTTTGGTTTGGTTTTGGTTTTTTGAGAAAGGGTTTCTCTGTGTAGCCCTGGCTATCCTGGAACTCACTTTGTAGAGATCCATCTACCTCTGCCTCCTAAGAGCTGGGATTAAAGAAGCACACCACCACCACCTTGTAGCTTTGGAATTTTAATAAAACTAAGTTATAAGCTATTTCTAAGTGTGGAATTAAAGTGCTTTCTTCTAGAACAAAAATATTTGAAACCTTCATTTTCTCCTAAGTTCTGGGTTGTATTTCTAGATTGTGCTGTCCAAAACAGTAATCACTAGCTATATGTAGCTAATTCAATTATAATTACACAAAACTACCAATTTAGTTTCTCAGCTATACCAGTCACTTTTCATATTCCAAGAAGCCATGTTTCTAATGAGAGCAGAGGCAATTTCTATCATCACAGAAGACTGCTGGGCAGCATGGCTTCAGAGAGCTGAAGGGGCAGGCTCACTGAAGTGCTGGCTTGGTATCTTCTTTGTAAACCAGCAAATGAGGTAAGAGTAGAATCAGGGTTAGGCCAAATTGCGATTCTCTTTCCTCTTTTTAAAAAGGATGAAAAATTGTTACTAGTAACTTTAACTAAAATGCAACCATACAGACACATAGACATAAAAGTAGGTAAGTGGAGGAGGAAAAGCAGGCATTTTAAAGAAAGTGTTAGCCACAAATCTGTAGTGTCTTTAGTGAAGGGAAAAAAACCAACTCTGAGCAAACCTATAGGGACAGCCATGCAGCCACACAATCTACTCTCTTCTTTTGTGAGAGAGAGGCAAGATCCTGGCCAATGGGAAACCACCTCAAAACCAGAACTACCAGGAATCCACCAGGATCACCATTATCAAGTGGGACATTTGTTTTTGCTTGTCATCTGAGCTCCAAAACATAATTGAAGTAATTTTCAGAAATACTATACACAGAAGAGAACACACAAGGAAGTGAGTGGATGAGGCCATCTTACGAAGATAAAATATGAGCAGGAACACACACAGGTTACAAGATTCAGTTATGAGATAAGCACGTATCAGCTGCTCAGGAAAAGGGAGGGTGGCATCTGAGATGAGTATCGATGTGAGTCCTTACAAGGTCCGTTAGGAAATTAAGGACAACCCATTCACTAAGAGCTGTAAAACAGAGAAAACCGCAATCCTGATAGCTGTTTTCTTACAGTAACTTAACCCTAAAATTCAGCACACAAAACAGGGCTCAAATACTTGGCTTTCTGAGGGTCTGGGTTGATGTAAAATCACAACTGAATGTGTCTATATGTAATGTAGATAGTGATCAAGCAGATGGTATTGTGGAAAGCTCCTGTGTGCACACTGCCAGTGGAAGACAAAAAGCCGAGTGGACACCTGCAGTCTGGGTCCAGGGATGCAGTGGTCTCTGAGAGCACGCATGCCCAGAGTTCCCTAGCATCCAAAGGCATCCTTGTGCCACAGCCTTTTCCAGGACTCACTTCCTTCGTAACTGCCCCAACTTCCTTGTACTTCTTTTAGGCCCCTCACTAACTCTTCCAGAATGCAACCACAATCATGAAGACACTTTTTTCTATGGACATTTCTTACTTCTCCTACCTCATTCTAAATCAATATTCATATACTTCCTTCTAGAAAAGCCAGCATTACAACCTAATTTAGTTTAAAGAGATTTCGTCTTTTTTTTTTGAGATAGCCCAGCCTAGGCAGGCTCTGAACATGGGGCTATCCACCGGCCTCAGTTTCCAGAGTGCTGAGATTACAGGAATGAGCCACAGTGCCTGACAAACATGAATTTATCATATTAATATGAACATATGTTCGTTGCCTTCAGAGAGCTCCTGTGTCCTTCTCCAACCCTCCTACTGAGGAGGGTTGTTTCTTTATTCCACACTTTCCCCGCCATTGGTGAGCATCCAATGAAGAAGTTGTAGAGTGCTACTTACTTTCGAATCTAACTTCTGTTTCACATATGCACCATTTGCTGCTGTCAGGACATCATTGATCAAAATAAAAACATATCCTTCCAGATCAAATGCCAAGTCAGAGCTGCAGAACATAAGCAACACTTTCAGATCACCTTCAAAAATGTGTAGTTAATTTTAAAAAGGTCTGGGCTACAGTACTTGCAAAAACATGTTCTTGTCTACATAGACTACTATGCATCTTATCAGCTACCAGCATTTTCAAAGATCTGGCCACATTTGGCAATTTTATGAGAAACATCTGTGCTTACACATGTCACCACCAAGAGTCAATCATGGAGCCAGACATCATGGCACACATCTGTCATACCAGCACTTAGGAGGTTGCAGCAGAAGGATGGTGAGCTAAGGCCAGTGTGTGCTATGGATCAAACTCCAGGACAACCTGGACTACACAGTTAAGACCCTACATCAGAACAAGCAAATCTTACACCCACACAACAAGCAAAACTTACACCCACATAATCACTTTGGTTCATTGTATACTGCTCTAATGTCAGCCAACAATCAACCAAACATCATTACCTAACCTGTAAAAGCAGAAGGCATCGGTTTCAAAAACGGGAAGTCAAAGGATGGAGCTGTGAACAAGTCATTTTTTGTCAAAGACTCAAATAAAAGATAGGACTAAGTTGTCACTGGGTGGAATTTCTGAAACATGGATGACAGTTCTGATATCAAGCCACAAGAGCATATAAGCAAGTTCTCAGAACTTAAGTGTGTAAATAATTGCTCAACAAAGTGACAAGGCATAACTAGGGAGAAGAAGAGAACATAGCTCTTACCATTTAGTGGAGTGGTTGCCACAAGAACTTAGTAAATATAAGCCACAAGTGAAAGTTTGACGGAATCTACCAGCAGTGTATTCTAATACTCTCAAGCTCTATGGCTCTGTAAAGATGCTACATACATGTGGCTGATCTAGTAAAGAAAACCCTCTAAGTCACTGCAACATCAGGCCAAAGGAAGATGCAAGAAGGTCCTGCTGTTTAGTACGACTTTGGTTCTCACTGGCATTGGGGAAATACTTTAGAATATATGGAGTTTAGTATGGCATCTCTAAGAACAAAAGTACGTGGTTATTACTGAACTTTTTCAAAGGAGCCAAACCTAGAGGGAAAAGGAGTCAGCTCCAAATTCCAGTAATCAATGATGCTGCCCTATTTTTTGTTTTGTTTTGGTTTTTGTTTTCCTAAGAATGGGAATTCAGGGGCCCCAAGATGGCTCATCTGGTACAGGCACTTGCCACCAACCCTCATAATCTGAGTCCTATTCCCAGGACACACATGGTGAAAGGAAAGAACAGACTGCCACAAGTTGTCTTCTGACCTCAATCTATGTACCCTGTGGCACACGTGCACACAAACAAAATAAATAAATGTAATAAAAAATATAATTTTTAAAAATGAGTGGAATTTCGCTTGGAGATTTAATGCAAAATAGAATTTGATGTCTACACCCACACTACATACATATGACGAAAGTATAACTAACTTGAGCTGAGAAAGCACAGTTGGCTCCCAAAGGAAAACAAGTTTGTAGCACTAGCAAATCTACCTACACACCCCAAGCTGGGTACCATGTCTAGAAGGCTCCTAGACACCCTTTCAATTTTCACTCTTTGGGTATGTATGTATTTTCCCCATGCCTGCCTGCCTTCTCTCCTGCCTGCCTGTAATCATCAAATGGTGGTCATTCATATCACCTTAAAAGTGTATCATTGCTTTGTGTCTTCCTCCACATATTTTAAAATTAAAACTTAAAAAAAAATGGAAAAAGCTTCAGAATATAATAGAGTATCCATATCATGACATTTGTGATGCGTCCTCTGCCAAATGAGGCAATGCTTCTATTCCCTTTCCACAAGGGGAAAAGAGTCATCTTCCTTTGCCTCATCTCACAGAAAGGCAGATAATGCTTCCTTTAACAGCACACACAGTGAAAGGATTAACATGGTATAAAATCACAGACCTGATTTCAGACAGACTTGGTCTCTAGCCCTGCTGCTTACTGGCTGTAACCCTTGAGAGTTATGGAAGAGTTCCTTCAACTATAAAACAGGAAAGTCCTATCAATCGGAATTGAAAAGAATTCATAAATGTGTCAGTGCTGAGCATTCTGTGTGGCGTGTGCTATGTGCTCAGCAAGCAGAGGACAGTATCAAATCCCGAATTACATTAAATTGACTTTAGGAATCCCCCAAATCTCCATTTCTCTAGCTTTGATCTAATACAGCCCAAAAGATTTAACACTGGAAGTCTTTTGAGGAGTTTTCAAAGATGCTCAAGATATAATATTAGTAACTATTGATAATTAATATACAGGCTGTAAAGGCCCACATCTTACCTGGCAGCTACAAAGGCTCCGATAATCATTGCAAATACAGTCATCTTAATACCCCAAGAAAAAGTCTTCCTACAAAATAATGTAAAATATACATACATGTGACTTTATCCATGTAGACTTATTTTATATCAAAGACAAAAACAAAGGGAACGGTTTCTCCAAAAAAGATAAATACAATCACATTCTGAATATTTCCAAGGAACTAGGTATTTAAAAGGTGGGGTATAAATTCCTTTTGCTATAGAAATAACCATAACCAGTTCTCTCTTAGTCTTACCATTTGCTTATTATCATTGAGTTGGAATTTTCATGTCAAAGTTTCTTTAAGTAGAAAAGGGTCACACACATTTGCAGTAAAAGTAAACAAGACATGAACACTATATAAAACCTACACCTACGATTCCTACCAGGCTTTGCCCAATGGCAGCAACAGACACAAGAATTCTAGTCAACACATCCCATGTTGAGGTGGTTTTCTAACTGTTGTCTGTAACCTTCCCAACTACATTAATCCCGATATCAAGATAATCAGCCTGTTAAGCTTTCAAAGCTTAAAGTAGAAGTGAGACAGACAATTTAGTATCTTACATAGGTTCGATATCTTTTCCAGATGTTTAAAAGTATTTGAAGAATAAATATATGGGGCTGGCTCATGAGTTAAAATTCCTAGCACCCACATTAGGCTGCTCACAACTGCCTATAACTTTATCAATGGGGAATTCAACACTTTCATCTGGCCTCAGACAACCACACACATGCATACATCCACACAAACACACTAATAACGATATCAGTCTTATAAACAGGGACAATGTATTACAAATAAAGCTCACTTGAGTAGAGCTCCTTCAGCAAACATTGTAAACAGAATGGAGAACCTTCTCAGAACTGTAAACATGGGCAAGCTGCAAAAGAAAAACAAGCAGGTAAAACAAAGCTTAAAAGTATGTAACTTACAATTCTACAAATCAGTAGTTTTAAACAATGCTAATCTCTTTCTGACTGTATGCAAGTCCCATGCTGATTAACCTTATTTGTGTGGAGAAATGTTTTCTTTAAAACATTAACTACAAAATGGTAAAACCATGCATCTATTATCACAGGCTGATAATTATGTAAATAGCCTGACTCCAGTCATATTAGTCTTTAATATTTCTTTCTTTCTTCTTCACTGGCCTAACTTCCCTTCTTACTCTCTAGACCACTACAAAAATGTCTATGAAAATCTTACCAATGAAATACGTTCCTCTAAATTCTTAGAGCAGTTTACTTACATTAATCAAACAGCCAGCTTCCTACATTATAAGAATTTCTCAATATATCTCACTCTAAAATGCTTTCTACTTGTCTGCCAATCAAAGGCAGAATGTGTATGCATGACAATGGCTTTTTAAAAAAAGGCAAATTTTATATAAGCAGCACTCTGCTGTAGGCCTGTATTTCCTTCCAAGTGGGTAATTAGATGGAAAAGGATTCCCACTCCGTGACAAATCTGACTTCCTAGGAACTTTCCCCAGAGATATTCTGGTCATTCTCTCAGGGTTCTTGGTTTAAAAAGAATCAAGGAGAATACAAACACTTCTTTGCCTCTGATCCTCATAGATCTCAATACTGTTTTTGTGTTAAGATTTTATTTCTAATTTTACATACATACATACATATGTGGATGCCAATGAAGGTGTCTGAAAAGGCCAGAAGAGAGTGTCAGCTCTCAAGTGTGAATGCTGGGAACTAAAGCCTGATGTGAATGCTGGGAACTGAAGCCTGGTCCTCTGGAGGAGCAGCCAGTGTTCTTAACCGCTGAGCCATCTGTCTAGCCCCATTCCGTACTGTTTATAATCATTTACTATGTCAGGGCTTCATTCAGTTCATGTAGATTTCTGCTAAACTGTTTCCCCTGTATATTTACTACACACATACATACATCATGGCAAAGTCAGAAATCAAGAACTAGGAGGGAAGGGGGTAGGTAATGTATAGCCTTGTCATGGAGTACAGCAATTGCTTCTTTCTAAAAATGAATGGCTCTCCAGTTACACAGTTACAGTTGACATAGTAATCACTTTTATGTCAAGATTCCATCTGACTTTAGCCACTTCGTGTTAAAAGGAAACCTGTGGAAACTTTTATATCCATCATCTGATTTGCTGTGTGGAATATACCTAAAATACACAGGGTTTATGAACTATATTATAGAAGTAAAATCCTAAACCACACACGCATTCTGGAGGCTGAGGCAAGAGGAGTACATGTTCAAAGTCAGTCTTTGTTACATGGTGTGTTCCAGGTCATCCATGGCTACAAAGATCCTATCTGGGTGGATATATATATATATGGCATAAATGGCAGTACTACAAAAATAAGAAAATCTACTGCACCATTGACAATATTTCAACACTTCTAGCATAAAAATGAGAAGGGAAACAAAACAAAATCCATTCCTTAGCTTCAAATAAACAACTTGAAATCAGTGTTCATTATTTGATAGTGGATGATTCCTGGTGTTTTTATTGTCTCCCCCCACCTGAGCCCCCATCAATCATGATACATTAATATGACATTGGTGTTCATATTAAAGTTCAATAAACTTTAAGATTACATTATTTTAACCCCACTAGAAAAATAAAGTTATCCATACTTCAGTTTCTTTGTGCTGAACAGTCCGGTGATTTGGTTCCCAAAATATAGTAGAGGTAGTGGAAACGTCTGGAAAAGTGAAAAGGGCAACAAATCTCAATAATAAAGGCAGTGACAACAAAGTCCTTTCAAACAGAAACAGCTCTGTTTATATAGTCAAATTCTTTCCACTTGAAACATAAGATTAGTTCTCATAAACAGTATTGACCCCCATGAAACACCCAAACAACATTAGTTATCCTTTGATAGACAACACTGCTGACAGAAAAGGGGGGAGGGGTGGCAGGAAAAAAGGACACAGAAGTATAAACATGATCAACCATGTAAGGCAGAAACATCACTTGCTTGAAAATATGATACCACATGAGTCTAAGACTCCAGTGTCCACAGAAGGAGGGAAAACATTTAGTTTTCATGTGGAATCTCACAGAAGCTTAGAGGGCAATATGAAAACACCACTCCTCCAAAAAAAAAGGAATAATAAAAGAGCATCATGTGATTCCTCATGGGAGGCTTCACACTCCCTGGGGAGTGGATGGGGGGGATGGGATGGGGGGTTTATGGGGGCCACGAGAGGACAGGAGGGAGAGGGAACGAGGATTGGTAAATAAAATAAGATTGTTTTTAATTTAAATAAAAAATTAATAGCAAGAGAGAGAGAGAGAGAGAGAGAGAGAGAGACAGAGAGAGAGAGAGAGAGAGAGAGAGAGAGAGAGAGAGAGAGAGAGAGAGAGAGAGAGAGAGAACATCATGGCTAAAGTGGATAGATCTGTTACCAGAAACTCCTATTATTAAAACAAGGATTTTTCTAACTTCATTTTCAAGAGACTTTAGCACATCTCTTGAATGCACTGTTACCTGTACTCTTTAACTTTGCTAAATGCACTGGTGGTATGGGGTTGGGGCTAGACTGTGGTTTTAAATATGCAAGACGCTGATGTTTTTCTCCCCCCTTAAGCCACAGAATGGCTCCTTTTTATAAAATAAAGTATTCCTTCTTTCTCACTTTTACCTTTCGAGGTACATTTCTGTCAAAGTCAGGAAACTTTACTACCCTGAGTGCCTTTCCCACCCAGAGAACTGCTACCGTGGCCACCATCTGCAAACAGAGAACACACACTGATGCACTGTTCTGCATATAAAGACACACACAGAAGTTCTGACAACACAGACCACGAAATGCCCAAGATTCCAACTAACCTGGCCAAGCCCAACACATAGCGAGGACGGAAATCTACAAAAAGGGTAAAGAAAAGGAACGGGGTTAAAAAACAGCCAGAAAGCCCTCCAGGCACAGTGAATTCAACTTTCACACTGACAACCTTAAAATGCATTTTAATTCAGCCCACACCAATGCCTGCCCCTCATCCAAATTAAAAAGAAAAGAAAAAAAAAATCTTAGATGTTGTAGCCTAGGGCGGCCACTTGTCTCATCTTGTCCCGTTTTACAATTTCCCTGGGCTTCCTGCAACGGATTTTTCCAGAAAGTTAAGGCAGAGATCTCGTCAACCGTTTTAAATCTCTTAAGTGAAACTGGGGGAGAAACACACACACACATACATACACACGCACGCACAAACTTCTGCCCCGGAGTCCCAGTGACAGTGGCGACGGCGGGGGCGGGGGGGGGGGGGCGCGGGGCGCGGGGGCGCGGCGCTGCGGGGGGGGGGGGGCGCGGGGGGGGGGGGGGGGCCCGGGGCGGGGGAGCCCTGGCCCCTAAGAGGCCCCTGACCCTGCCTCCCCTGCCATCTGTCTCCAGACCCCACTGGGGGGGCAGAAGC